GCATCTGCAAGGTTCTGGAATCATCAAAATGATAAGAAATTTGGCCCATTCTTTGTAAAGTTACAAGCACTATACACAGAAATATGTATATGGGACTACCCTATATCTCTCACAGTCCATGAGAGAAACAAATTTACCAAATATATGAATTAGTAGGCCGTTTCCTGGCAATTTTGTTATCATCATGTATTAGTCAAAACATATTCTTTCACATGATTGGTAATGAGAGCTTCCATTTCATTTTTTTGAAATTGGGGCGTTTCCAATACTGGTCTTTACCTTTAATCTGGGAATAACAAGACAGTATAATTCGAAAACACTATATCCTCCATTTCATATGTGGTAATGTGACATTTATACTTTGGCAGTATTTCTAGGAATAAAGGTAAAAAGAAAAAAAAAGATACATAATAACTTTATGAATTACTCTACTACTTATAACTACAAGACTACTACCCCTACTGCTACTACTATTATTAATATTACCAGTATTGCTATTTACTATACTATACTACCACCAAACGATAATTAAAAAGTCAATCTCTATCATATACCACTACGACGACGACGAGTGAGGACTTCTGCTAAAATAATTACAGCAACAAGAAAAACGAAAACAACAACTATTACTATACTACTCCTACTCCTACTCCAGCTTTTAGGACTACGGCTACTATTAGTAATACGAGCACTACATGTACTTCTATTACTACTACTACCACCACTACTTCTTCTACTATTTCTACTACCACCACTAGTAGTATACAACTACTACTAGAGTAAGACATCAATTTTTTTTTTTAACAACTGACTGCATTCACATTCTAGCTTACCGCATGTTTGTTCTGATGAACGTACGGCTGATCGAAGAAATATATGTAGGATCAACCAAACTCCTCTTTCGCCCCAAAGCCTAGCCATGGTTTTAACACATGCTACAGTTTATTCGTTAAACTCAGACTGATAAAAACAGTTCAGACATGCTAGTTATTTTAAAAAATATTCCGAAAAGCATAGGTGATATGGGATGGCTGTGCAAGAAGTCCGTACCCTCCCAAATACTGCGACACAATCATTATGAGAAAACAAATTCAAAACAATATTCATAAATTCCTAGTTGACGGACGGATCACTGGCTTTGCAAAATAGAAAGAGGAAGCAGGCACTGAAAATATCGTTTCTTTCATGCTGCGCATTAGGATCGGTACACAATTTGTGACGTCATTATATATATATATATATATTGTTTCCTCAGAGCAAGACTTTTTGTTCTGCAAAAAAGGAAGAAAAACGGTGAACAAATAATATGCGTCGATTCAAAAGAGCTACTGTACTCTCCAAACACCACATTCAATCAATTATGAGAAAATATATTTTATACATGTATTTCCCCAGAGGGTATCAAGCGATCTCATAGCATTCGTGTGTTATGGGGTAAGCACGTTACTTCAAATTGTTATAATCTGAATGCATACATGAGCAATAGTTGTTCGAGAGTCATGGGCTTGATTGTAAATGAAGTTAAGGTTCTATATTCAACATGAGGAAGAACAGAAGTTCCGTGCTTTAAATTTAACGAATTTGCGACGATTTTTTTTTTCTTCTTTTCTTTCGAATAACCACATGACTTAAGATAGACATAATGTACGTCGAAAATTCGTGACCCAATTAAAACTTTCATTCAAAGATGAAACTTTTGTTCTCTTTTTTTGCGTCATCTTATGCAAACATGTGTTTTTTTTTAAATATATATATATATATATATATTCTTCTAGAACTGCGCCTGTACACAAGTTTCTAAATATGCATTTTTATATATCCGTCATTGGGCGTGTTTATGCTTGATTTTGAAGGTAGAATGAGCGATTTGTAACGCTCATCGTAAACGCTCATCGTAATCGCAGTTCCACGGTGTACTGTTCATGCTCACTTCTCTGGCTCCTCCAGGCAATTCTCCGTGGGTGGCCTTAATTGGTCTTCCAGCTAGATTCGCAACCTTTAAATGCGCATGCTATGTAGGTCATGGTCCATGCGTAGACCCACCAGAGGTCAGTGCGTTGACCCCATTTAAACGCGTTTACAAATTGTAAACGCATCTTTTTGGGCGTGTTTATGCTTCACTTTTTCTGGCCAGAATGAGGCATCTGTTACGCGTTTAGTTTAAAACACCGTTGCGTCCATGCTCACTTTTGTAGAATCACCGAAAAACAGCGATCACGATCGCCGATCGTAAACTCACAACAAGATGCGTTTACAATGTGTAAACGCGTTTAAATGGGGTCAACGCACTGACCTCTAGTGGGTCTACGTAGCATGCACAGTGAAGGTTTGCGAATCCAGCTGGAATACCAATTAAGGCCACCTAGGGAGAATTGCCTGTAGGAGCCGGAGAAGTAAGCATGAACAGTACATCGTGGAACTGCGATCACGATGAGCGTTTACGATGAGCGTTTCAGATCGCTCATTCTGCCTTCAAAAGTGAAGCATAAACGCGCCCGTGAGTTTACGATCGGCGATCGTGATCGCCGTTTTTCGGTGATTCTACAAAAGTGAGCATGGATGCAACTGTGTTTTAAACTAAACGCGTAACAGATGCCTGATTCTGGCCAGAAAAAGTGAAGCATAAACACGCCCAATGATGGTACGACCCCGAACGTATTCAATATTTGCACTTGAATGGTTATGCGTCATTATAATAGTCGAGAATATGATCAGCGCAAACGAGGTGTGTAATATGTTGTGCCCATTAAACGAGTTCAAAACAGGGATGATGTTGACGAGGATCAGACAATAGAGACATTGAAATGTGGACATGGTGGTTGGCTAAGGGAATTCGTGTAGAGTGATTGCTGAATACTAGTACGGTGGTTGTAGCCGATGTTGTAATGTGGTTAGCGGAAACAGAAGTTTTAATTTTATGAGCATTACAAACTGTAGTAATCATCATGCAAAATATAATACTGTTTGTCTCGCAATGTATGTTCACCAAGGGATCTGAAAGATCATGACGTTCCGTGCGCCGCTGCAACACCTCGTCAGGTGGTAAAATATACTGTAAGCAAGCGTGTTTTTACTCTATCATAATAATGGGATTGAGGTGAAATGAGTGTATGTACACTAGATTAAGGAGGCCCTTGATAAATGGTACCACTGACGTCATTCAGCCCTAAAATGTCCCTCATTTTTTCCCGATTTGGACTGTTTCCCCCTCTACATGCTACACTGCAGAAAACTTTAAACAAACACAAGTATTACCACTAAATGAAAGCAGTTTGGGAGAATATTATTTTTAATGGCCAACATGCATCATAAGCATGGTACATTTATTCTATTTCCTGATATTTTTTAACAATCAGAAGGACTGGTGAATATAATAAAATTAACAATGGTTGCTTCTTATATTTTGCATACCAGGTCAGGCATGACGCTCATAAATGGACTTATTCCGTAATCTAAGTAATGAATGATCTAGTTTGTTGTATTGTCGGAGAGCGAGAGTAACATGGGAAGAGCCGCTCAGGTTGTTCTCATCTGTAATGTTGGGGGAGGCACAATGTCAAGACAAATTCAAATAGCATTACACGAATATTAAAGCGGATATTATACATTCCAGAATTACCTTGTGATAATAAACTTCCTCCCTCAATTCAATCAACCAAATTAATTCAAATATTTTAGCGCGGATGCCAATTGGCAAAGCATTTTTTAGAGTAGAATCTCCGTTCTTATTTCCCTCTACCGGTATAATTAATTTTCTTATGTTATAATTGTTTGTATTCTATATTATGTCAAATATGTCAATTTTTAGTTTTGATGAATGGTATATATTCCTTATATTTTTGTATATCACAAACGTGTTAAGTCGTTCTAGAGGGCGAACTTGGAAAGCAGTTTTGTTAAACTGAATGTACCTACCCTTTATTCTAAATAAAACATGAATAAATAAATAAATGCTGATCTCTTTTGACGCTCGCTATATGAGTTATTAGAAACTGAATTTACTTTAATTCACTTTACCATGGAAACATTTTGCCTTGATCGTCGTTGAATTTGCAAAACAGTTCACTTACACGTTACATACTGAAATATTCGTATTTTTTAAACATGAATGTTGCAAATTGTCGGGCGGTGCTCTTTGTAGTTATCCGTAAAAAGATGTGAATAAATATGGAATAAACATCTGATTTATTTAGATTTATTTACATTTAACATCTATATGCATATGTTAAATTAAGTCAGAATATTCATAATAATTTGATACACCTTTTTATTCCATATATCAAAATATACACAAGATTAATGTTGATTTAAAGTTCCATGGAAATACCAGACAATTCCAATCATGAATTTAGAACTACCAAAACCAGTTTTGTTTGTTAGAACTACTAAAACCATTCTTATTGTTGATATAGTTAAACATTATGAGAATCGTGAGATGCCTGATTGAATTTCGTTTCGCTCATTAAAAACATTTCTAAATATTTAATATATGACTTCCGAACCTCAGATTCGATATGTACATGTACATAATGGAAAAATCAAAATAATACTAATCGCTTGTGCGGTTGGCAAAATGGCATTAGCACGATCGCATGTAAGACAGCAGATTTCTGGACACTCACTTGTCAAGTTTTGATTGCCCTATACATGTTTTACAGTTTTGTTAAAATGACAGGATTGTCTCTCTTTATTGACTATCAAAGAACTGAAATGAATGGTAAATAGCAACACTATCTACACTACGCAATATGGCGCGTCCGCGTTTCAGCAGAGAGGCGTAAAGCGCTTCCATGCTGTCTTCTGCCTGCCAGCCGGACTCCGAGATGTTGGTGATATGTGTCACACCTGGGACCCGTTTCACAAAACTTGTCACCAGTGACAAATGACAGTTTTTCTTATAAGCTACTGAAATCCGTGCTTCTGATTGGTTATCAGCAGATTTATCACTGATTTTTGTCATTTGTCATTGAAAAAAGGCTTTGTGAAACGGGTCCCTGGGCCCCGTCGTATAAATAGTTGCGATTGATCCGAACCAATCTGAAGTCCTTCAATCAATCGCAAGGTTCCCAGAATAATACTAACAATCATTGAGACTTTTAATGTAGATTGAGTTTCTCATACTGATTGCTCTCGTTCGAGCTTATAGTCGGATCGGGCAGGGGATTGGTTTTTAGATCTCTTTCGAGATGCGAGTAGTCCAAAATTTTATCGCCAGAATTCTCCGGTTGAGCTTCAGGGTTTGCCAAGGTCTGGTAAGTGTTGCCTGCATTGGGGGTCAGATAGTCATTCTCGTCAACATGAACTGCATCTTTGGTCGTGTTCCTCTGGGCCCCCGTCAACGATGCGCGCTGGAGACAATCGTATGATTCCTCATCAGTTTTGGAAATTGGATCGTTATATTCCGATGTTATCTTTGATTTACCGTCTGAAAATTCATCCTTAATGCATTTCTTCGGAATGGATGACTCATGCAGAGAGCCATGGTCACCTGGAGACGTTTTCGTAAGTGGAGTGTAGCTTCCATCGTCAGTCGTGTGTAAATGTTGGTATGCATTGTCGCCCGCTTCGGCATGGTCCCCAGGTTTCTGAAGCATTGGTAGCGCATGATCCGTGTCCAACGATGTCTTCTTAGACACGCTAATTAATGTTCCGTTCAGGATATGTCGACTGCCGCCTTCCTGAAGCCTTTCATCTGGGACCGCTGTACCTGGCTTCACCTCGTCAGAGTTTGGTAGGTTATATTCATGATAGTCGCCCCTCTCCTGTCCATCGAACGGAACGTTGTAGTCTTCCGATCTTTGCTCAGTCCCATTAATCAACGATCGCTTTCTCTGAGGATTAGTACCATCAACATGAGACCTTTCAGCTGGAACCGCTGTACCCTGGTCAGAGTCTGGTAGATTGTATTCATGATAGTCACCCCTCATCTTGCCGCCGAACAGAACATTATATTCTTCTTCTCCCACCTCGCTGTAGATCACCAGGTTGTCAGGTTTAGGGGCTCTATCACAAGGTAACTCAGTATACTCGTGCTGATTAACATCGTCAAGTACCTCCGAGTGATCAACTTGTTTTGAAGAGCTCTTTACTGAATGTATGCACGTTGTATAATCGTGCTGCTCATTATTTTCCTTGTCGAATGCAGAGTTTTTGACGTATGCTTCTGAATTCTGGGGTTGGGAATTCTGGTCAACGGATGACAAACGTCTGAAAGAAACAATTATGAAAAGATTATTAATTTAGCATTGTGTGTTCGTTTTGTGGTGTTAACATTGTTCTCCGTCAAATTATGGTAAAAATGATACCGGTTTCTTATCTAGCGCTTTACCATTAAGTGACCAAGAGCTTAGTTTTTCATTATTACCCCGGTCACTGGATTCAATTACTATTCTGCACGATGTAGTGTACATTCTCCACTCCCTGGGAAGTATTCCAGATATACGCCTTTTTACGGCGCGCATTTGCCAATCCAAAAAGACTTTTGCATCCTACCGAGATTATATTTTACAAGTAATAAAGATATAAGCGTGAGAAACAAAAGTGATGTTGAAATACTGTGGTCTATAATGGAAGCCCTTTACCTTCTCCTGACGAAACATGTGACTCCTATTATGACAATGATTAGGATGAATATCAGGAGAAGAGCTACCGTGATGGTTAATGCACTGTTCACACCTGTATAAGAGAGAGAGAGAGAGAGAGAGAGAGATAGAGAGATAGAGAGAGACAGAGAGACAGACAGAAGGACAGAGACAGAGACAGAGAGAAATAGAGATAATATATCACTGATCAGTAAAGTTAATACAATATACACGAAGAGATGATTTTAAACGAATACGAAACTATCGATGTATTAATAAAGGTTACGAAGCCGTCAAATAAAGCTGAAAAGACCTTCGAAATCGATAGCACCAACTGGAATGTGTCGTAGTAGTAATAGTAGTAGTATTAATAGTATTATTATTATTATTAGTAGTAGTAGTAGTAGTAGTAGTAGTAGTATTAGTAGTAGTAGTAATAGTAATAGTTCATGTAGTAGCAAAAGGTAATTTTCAATGCAAATTGCATATATTGTTTTACTCTTCTTCTGAGGGCCCTGTATTCATAATTATCATTACCCTGGCTTTATTATATCGCCACAACCATGAAAAGGTGGGGGCGTTCCAGAAATTTCCTCCTACCTGTTGATTTTCCATTTCCTTGTGTCGTGGTATTTGTTGTTGTAAGGGATGATGTAAGCAGAGATGTTGGACTGGTGGTCTGTGGTATAGTAACCGCGGAGATATCGGGATCTATCGCTGTATATAATGGGTAACAAAGACTCATAACTTTACCAAATATAATTTTTGTTAAGATCATATTTATACAATAATTGATAATTGGTCTTTGTTTACTTGGGATCCTGTGATTACTATTCCCCCAGCATTGCTGGATACCCATTTAGTAACCGTGGGTCTAGACGGACACAATGATAGAAATGCCTTATCCGAGAACATGGATCTAACCCGGGACCTCAAGTATGAGATTTAAGTACAGTGCTCCCGCCATATGCACGACTGCTAAAAAAAAAGCACCAACAACAAACAAAACAAACAAACGCATTTTGGTATCTTTTAACCTGACAATGTCAATAACGTTTTTAAAAATCATTATTGCCTTAATGAATGATTGTTGTTAATGATAAGTAATTTGTGTATGAGTATAATGAGATTTATTCTAATTTCATATTTACCTGTACTATTCTGACTTGTAGTAGCAGAAGGTGCTGTGTGTGGCATTGTAGTTGACGTTACATACATGGGTCTGATCGTAGGGGGCTCTGTTCTGTTGTAGATAAGCAGCTGCACTGCATTAATTTCGAACATTCCAGTTCCTCTCGCTTGAAAGGTTACCTGCATTTTTTTTTTATATCAGGAAAAAATGAAAGTACAACTAACAAACTACATGTTTACAAAACGTGTACGAGTATTTGTTAAACTATTTGTATGCAATCAGCAGATTTAAAAAATAGGAACTTGCCTTCTTTGTTTATTGCAATGCTAATTTGCCCCGTATCACTGATTGTATTCTAGCGTCAGGTTGGCTCTTGTATTTCCACCAGGATCGCAAATATTTTTCGAAAAATTAATTCAGATCATTCCAATTGTTTTGTGCCTCACCGTATTACATGTACGTATTCCGTAAATAATTCCGTAAGTAAGGCAGTACAAATTCCTTTGGCATCTTGATCGAATATTTTATGCTAAGCAATTTTCCGAAATAGGATAAAGTAAACCCAAACGAAATCATTTCTATCACAGCTTACCGCCCACGAACCCGAGGAAGTTGAAGTAGAACCACAGGATACGTCGACTTCGAGACCATTTTGGTACAAAAATGGCGCTTTTCTTGGTAGACATGCCGTTATACAGTGGCCTGTAAATACTGATGTTGTTCTCGTCCTTCCTGTAGTTTGAAAGACCTGAGTGGTCTTGATTGTATAACCGAATTTGAGAAGAATGGCGCCCTCGTTGTTAATGTTGGTCGGCAGAGTACCGCTAGATGCAACACATCCTCCGTCGCTCGGGTTGAGACCATTGTAACCTGTAATATGAATTTAAGGACACAATACATTTATTAAGAAAACTTCACTAACATACACATATATATTTAGCTTTGTTCTTTTATTTTTGTTACCTTGTAATGTTGATAATGCTCGTACTTATCATGACGGTTTTTGTTATTTTATGTGTAACAGCAATAATGCTAGTTATATTGATTAGAATAATGATGATACTAATACAAATGATGTTAATAACAATGACACCACATAAAACAATAATAACGATAATAATGATGGCAATACAAACCGTAATAGGTCTTGTTTACCCGGAGTAGCCTCATCAGTATTAATACTGTTCTCCTGCAGGCCCTGTCATCATCTTCTTACTCCCGTTTTAGGCGAGCTACCGCGATAAGGAGCTCAAACAATTCAGTAATTTCTTCCCACCAGGTACAAACTATACTTGGGTAGAGAGTTGAAAATGTAGAATGACATCTTGCCAAAAGACATTATAGTGCCCTACCGGTACTCGAACCGTGAACCACATGAATCACGGTCCACCGCCGTATCCACCTGACAAGCTACGACACCTTAGTTTACAATTGTGTATTATATTCTTTTCATACAAAAATATCATATTAATGTTTGGAATACTAACCTTGTTCTCGTTCGCAGATATAGGCATGCTTGTGACCACAGTCATGATCTCTCCACTCGTAGGCATCCTGTTGTCGTATCTGGAAGCATTCTTCTCGTGCTTCCCCCGCTCTGAAATTAGAGTATGTGATGGTAGATCCATCCATCCAGACCCTCTCCCCCTGTGCTGTCCTCTCTATGCCGATCCATTGCTCCTTCGGTAAAGGGACAATCCCGTTCACCATGGACTCCAGGAAGCCCTGCTCCTCGCTACTCTCGATGTAGACTAGATGATACCCCATTGCTTCACAGTTTATCCTTGCCGTGGCTAGATTCGCATTTGCGGTGCTGAATTGGTAGCAGGATTTGTTGAAACTGTGCATGCCATCTTCGCATTCTGTCGTGAAAGGAAATTGGGGAAAAGAGAAAAGATTGATATGAAGTATATCAATGAAGGAACTGTGACCTTTAGGTGTCATAAGGGTTCTAGGACCATGGGCGTAAATCCTTACGTAATACCTATTGTTCAGGGGGATGAATGAATAGATCACCCCCCCCCCTGAACAATAGGTATCAATGACAGATTTACGCCCATGTCTAGGACACCTACCCCCTGGACATCTACCCCCGGATAAACACCCCCAATCAACTACCCCCTAGGACAACTACGCCCTAGGGCAACCTCCGTCTAGAACGACTACCCCTGGGACAACTACCCCCGGACAACTACTCCCCCAGTAGTCGTCCTAGAGGTTGGTTACCCTAGAGGGTAGTTGTCCTAGGGGGTAGTTGAATGGGGGTGGGTATCCGGGGGTGGATGTCCAGGGGGTAGGTGTCCGGATACGGTCATAATGAGTCATTTGTTATTCCCACGTTATAAGTACGTGCTTGTCTTTCTGTAAGACTGAATATCGCAAGCTATATTAATAGAGACAAAGGTTTTAAGAATAACTGTGTAAACTGAGCATGAAATGCGATACATTTTGAACTTTGTTTTATTAAAAGCGGGATGAAATAGTAGTAAATGAATTTGCGTTCCTTGACAGATAACTTTCGCCCTTATTGTGCCCCCTCCCCAGGTTAGAAAATCCTGTATGCTTCATGAATAGGACCTTACCAGCGCGAGTATGCCATTGATTGTCCCCTGTGGCTAGAGGTGATACTGTGCACTGCTGCGGAGGAGTAGTCGCCATGATGGTATCTGACAAGAGATATGGAAAACATTTACAGCCACTGTCATTATCAAATGCAAGTAATTCACCTGAATTAATTATTTGCCATAGGCTTAATACAGGGGCCACCCAGTTTCAACAGGCAATGGGTTAATCACACCTCTTGAGTTTTGTTTTATGGGCCACCATTCAGTAGGTCGAGCGATCAAAATACATGGAAATGCATATCCACCTACTTTTTCGGGGTGTAAATTAAAGTTAGGCCTTTGTTTTGTTCGTTTCCCTCTGTGTATACGTAAATATGTGGGTTTGTGTTCGAAGGTGACTAAGAAAAACAACTTCATATAGGGCTTAGGATAACATGTGCCTATTTTACCGTAATTACATTCCATGCTTATCTTTCCTTCGTATGCATCCATATTTGATTACGTGATTTGTTGTAATGACTTCAAGTTTTGAATTTTATATTTTGAAGCTGAACTACGTGCCAAGAATGTATCCAATAAAGGATGAAACTTACCGATGATATCGAAAGCCTGAGAAATAATGACAACATTTTGACCCTGACCAGAATTTGTGAAGGTACCGTGAAGATAGACAACATTAGATGACGACAAGAAGTAATCATCATCCGTGACGAAGCTATTAACATTGAAGATGTACACATCGTCACTATCCTCTGCGTCAGTTACTGTGATTACGTTACGGGCATCACCATTAGAAACCGCCATAAGGACTTGGGAGCCAGGGGGTCCGTGTATTTCCAACTTGTGTACGTAGGGATTGGTCGGGTTGGTAGAAGTCTTCAAGCAGTCAATCTCTGTTCTAGCGCCTCTAGTGAGATTGATCACTGTAAACACACAGAGGACACATTTAAACTGTTACCTAGCTTTGCCACCAACTCTGCTTATAACACTTATTACACAAAAAATCGAATATTCATAAGGTCTACTTAGAACCTAGAATTAATGATCGTATCCACCTCCTTTCCCCCATGGAAGACTCTTTCTCCCTTTACAATTTCCACCCAATTTCAACTACACTCACATATTCGTTGCATTACTCTAAGAGACGCGATTTTAATGATATCACTGTGTACGACGGACGCACTGTATCAGAATTTCCCAGTATTATTCAACTAATGCTAAATATATTACTCATTGCGGATGTAGTATCGAAAATATTCAACTACTTTGGTTCCCCCTGGCCTTTAATTTCTGCTGAATACTGTTGCTATTTATTGTTAACCATGTTAATATATTAACGCTTCGCCACATTGTTTATTTCTTCCCTTTATTTCGTTTCCTTCTATCTTTCTTCTTCTATAGTCCCCCCCCCCTATCTCTCCCCTCTGGCACTAGTTCCCTCCTCATTTCTAACTGTCCCACATCTTACACCTCTCTATGAATGTATTTCCTTTACATTACCTCCATCGATGAGATTGTCGGAGGCACAGCAGTTGGGAGTGCAGTGCAGAGAAGTTAGTCCATTAGATATGCAGGCCCATACGGTATGATTGGAAAGTACTACATCCTCGTATTGAGTGGTGACATGACACATGTGCGTTGGCTGTGTAGCTAAGGATTTAATGTTATAGTAATAATGATTAATACTATTATCATCATCATTAAGTGTGTGTGGCGTCACCTGTGTCAGGGAGGGCGAAAGCAAAACTGACTCACTGTGACCCTCGGCCCTCGGGTCTCTCTTCCCAATATAACTAGGGTTGGGGATTAATTGGGGATGAGCAGGGAACCACTGTTCTTCAACGAATAGTGCAGTACGTTCTTAAAGTGCAAAGGTGATGCCTCTCTTTTACACGAGGGCTCCGTTTAACGTCCTGTCGGAGGGACGTAGTGTTTTCCACTGTAACATAGACTACGTCTATGACACAGGGGAATTGCATGTTAACACATAACGCAGGCTTCTGTCATCTACCTGGGTTCGATTCGAACCAACATTGCCAATATCGACAAGAGCTACTTAAATAACAATAATGATAATAATAATCATTATAATAATAATTATCTTAAAAATGATGACGATCATAAAAGAACATGAATACTGATGAAATGATTTATTGTAACATAAATAGATGAGTATATGAAAAAGAAGAAAAAAAAAATCAGAAAATAAATCTCCTACAGCACTCGTGTCTGTCAGACTTGCCAGACTCTACGCTTCTGACACTCCACAGTTGACTGTGGGTGGTTATCTGGGGGTGGATGTCCAGGGGGTTGGTGGAACCAGAAATGACTACGGCATGTGGTTAAGAATATCTCTATTTTGACGTAATAGTGACCTATGAGTTAGCTATATGCGTGCAAGGCAGACCGGAATACTTTGATTATTACAGCCTGAAAACGGATATCTATCTTGAGATAAACTAACAAACAACTCTCTGCCGGTAGCTAGTGTTAGATAAACTTGAAACGATATAACAGTTTAAACAAAATATATGTTGTTTTCTATCGAACCGAAGTATCATATTCTAGAGTATACAGTAGTCATATCCTATAGCCATGGTAACTTGATTCTTTTCTAATACACTATGCTACTGCTGCTTCTAAAAATAACGATGATGATGACGATGAGAGTAGCTAGTAGTAGTAGTAGTAGTTGTAGTAGTAGTAGTAGAGTTGTGTAGTAGTAGTAGTAGCTACAATAATAATGATAATAATGACAATGATACATAATGAATAATATTAATATGTTTGTTGTGTAAAACATGATGATGTAATAATGGCTTTGCAAAGTTTGATTTTTCTTTCCTTGGCATTTGATCCTTTTCAGCATCTAGATTTTGCCTGTCATTTTTACCACCACTACTACTACTACAGATATTGAATATTGCCACTTTTACTACTAGAACTAATATTAGTAATATCAACTCAGTTACTTTTCTTACTACGCTTGCATAATTTAATATTTTTTTTAAAAACTATAACTTATCAACAAAAAGATTTCAAGAAGTTTAGCTATTTATATAATCCTGCTTAATAAAAAACACCTTTTAACTACTTTTAATTTATTTCTTTAAAAAAAAAAGAAGACAGTTCTTATAATTAATTAGGGTTAATATAAACTTAGATGTTAAACATGTGTCATGCACGTTATCTATATATTAAATTGGGAAATTATTGCGATTTTTATTGTAAAGGTTTTGCGATTTTTCTCACCACATTCTGATGTCGATGTCGTGCTAGATGCGGTGATGCACGTTCGACCTCCGACTGGTAATGAAAGAATTAAGCTTACACAGAATAGTAGCAAATCAACTCTCCTCCTAGGCCAATCCATAATCATTTGGTTGACATACCGGTGTAAACGATGCAAACAATTATCCTAGTGGTGTTGTAAGATCCGAGCGAAATATAGTTGTGTGAAAGTATGCAACATATCAATTTCAGATTAACGCTCATAGAAACAAGTAAAGCAAGCAAAGCTAAACTAGATTATTTGCTGTGTCACATACACAATCATGTTTATATAGTGATTGAGTTCAGGCAATCTACCCATCGTCTTCCACCCACCTTGCCTCTCTTCTGTTCAGACCATCAAAACCTTATTTCCTCTCGACGAAAACCAAACAGGAAAATGATTAAGGGATATCCATGATAATGTGGGTGCATTCAAACCTCTGAGCTCAACTCTACTCGACGTTGTTCTTCATTTGGAAGGAAACGCTCCTTGAATGACAGGCATATCATGTATAGGAGGAAATAAATGAAAGTGTAAAAACCTCTGTTTCAGGAAATGTGTGACTTAGAAAAGGCCGTAATCATTGCCTATCTAAAAGACAAGAAAAATAATAACAAATTACATTGCGGACTGCAAGGAACGTATTAGCTTTTAAAGACAAATTATTTATTGAGAATAGTACCCCCGAATAATAACAATCAATTATTGAATAGCAAAAGGGAAAAACCATAACCACCCCCCCTCCCTAACATGTCTTCAAAGTCTTAATGAATTGCAACCATTCCTCCCCCCCCCCCCCCCGACGCAGATATAAACACCTACCCAGACACTCGTCGACGCACACAAACACAAACAAACCCTCGTCCACACACACATACCCACACAAAAGACGCCCGAATGACGTGGCACATTAACTGTCTGTTACATTGTCTGAGGAGCGGATCCATTCTCTTTCCTTTCCTCTTTCTATTCTCTCTCTCTCTCTACCTCTGTCTCTCTCTCTCTCTCCTCTCCTCTTCTCTCTCTCTCTCTCTCTCTCTCTCTCTATCTCTCTTTCTCTCTATCTCTCTCTCTCGATCGAGACTTTTTTCCAATGGTGTTGTTTTTCAATTCAATTCATCTTTATTCAACGATATAAAAGAAAATAGTACAATGCAATAAAACATATTGACATAATCATATACATGTGTAAAATTAACATATCGTTATGTTGTTCTTCAATTCTTTTCATTAACAATCATGGCTTTCTTTTTCTTCCTCTTATTATTGTTTTCATTTTTAGGAAATAACTACCGTTTTCGTTTGTGTAAAAAAAAAAATGTAGGTTCTTTCTTATTTTGAATGTTATCACTTTCTCAAAATATCTAAAAAAAAAACCTACAAGCATATTATCTGTAACTGTTTGCAATTGAAAATGCATGTTGATAAGGCAAGTCATTCTGAATTGTCATGTTTATTGCACATATATCAACTGTCAAGTATCAATCATAACATCCTGGTTTAATAAACATTATAACAACAAATAGTGAGCTTTTTTCGAAGAATTAAAAATGTTTTGCAAAAAGTAGAGCGGCAGGACTTATCAGCTCATATGTAAATCTAACGGTTTTTGTTTACAGTATACCCGCTAAATATGTATATTGCGTCTAGACATTACATATTACTTTGATCCGATCTCGTCTTGTTGATGAATAAGAACGTTGTACTTGATCCACTCCTCCCCCTTCTTATCTTACATTGCTCGGGAAAATATACAGATAATGAACATGACTTATAGCCCTGTTTTTTAAAAACCTTTCTTGTCAATTATGTATTGACATTATGTTGAGTGGTGTGAAATGAGATGTTGTGTGCCATTGTTTAGATGAAAACCTGAGGAGTATTGCATACACTACAATATATTTCTATGAGACATCATAACAACAATGTAAGAGATTGTAATCACATTGTAATGTTATTCGTTTGACAATTTTCATTTAAATTGCTCAAGGGAACCAATACGCCTAAATTTGTCTCTGCCAAGCCAACGTTCACACGGGTTTACAATTTTCACAGAGGAACGTTAAATCGCTTACACAAAGCGGATCGACGATTTTGAGCGTGCTAGGAATCCACGCAAGCTTGAGGCGGTATGGTAAATATACCCTCGGAAAATCGTAAACTATTATTACTTTATTTCTCTTATCTGAAGCAACTTATGAAGTCGCAACTTATCAATTTAAATGTTATCATTCGACCCATATCGTACCAACAAATTGACCCGACGCTGGGCTAATGATAAGCTTTTGTTTAAATATTAGATTCAGGAAATAAAGGTTTTGAGGTTTTGTATTTTGTTCTCAGACCCATAACAGCGTTTGACTGACTTAGTAGAATATGGAACAAAATATCATTATAATCATGATAATGTGAATTTACTGCATGTTAGTTGAATTAATGCTCTGTTCAGAGCCAGAAGGGCATTAACTTTGTGTTAAAGTTTATGAGTTAGTGCCTTTTTGGCTCCAAACCGACACTTTATTTATTCGCCCAGTATCATTAAATCAGAGTTCTGGTCGTCCCAATTGCCTTCGTGCATAGTGGAGTTGAGATACCCGAACTCTACCGAGTCGTTAGATCCCTCGGTATAGGTCGATGTTGGTTCGCTTGAATTCGGGCTCTGCGGCTGTCGATTAATATCGAGGTACCTGAATGTATAGACAAGGAAGTTAACAATAAAGATAAAACGCTTTTAATAAGTTTACGTAATACAAAAATATGCGAAATTTCTTTAGTTTTGATTTATGTAGAATATGATATAGTATCCTGCAGTTAAAATTCCTTTTCTCGTAAAACGGAAGGTTATTTACCTGTTTTACTTTCAATTCCCGGTTATAAGGCCGTTGTTGGTTTAAGAATGTGTTATTACAGAGCTGAATACTATATCATGATAGATCTGCAAGTGTCATCGAGAGAACAATGATATTATTCACGTCTCTTTCACACCGGGTACATGAAGAAGGAAATAGATTTGCCTACATTTATGACCATTAATTTTGCAGTTAATGATATTTGCAGTAAATAATATGCGATCTGCAAATGACACTCTTAAAAGTTTTTCCAAATATCCAAATGTGTCTCTTCACCCCTAATTTTTGTCTGCATACTTTTCTAACTGCACTCTATCGGAGTCACACCGATGAAAATACCGATTGAATTTTCCTTATGTAAACAAAGGTGAAACCGCAGTTTTCCCCCTGTCGGTTTCTGACTGCCGGTAAAATTCACTCGCTGTAGCGAGCCCTTGCCGGAAATGAAGAATTATTACGTAATTGTTAAGCCCGCGCTCCATCTAGCTAGCATGCAGCTTGTTCAACCATGAGTCAACAAACACAGCTGGTTACGGTAAAGCGCGCGTATACTGCGACCTTTGACCATTTTAATCGCTGTTTTAATCGCCCTTTTCTCCCGAACGTTTTCTAACTGCACGTTTCATCGGTGTCACACCGATAGAATGAGAATTTCTCCTGCTCTAGAGCAGGAGAATTTAATCGCCTATTTCTCTTCTTTTCATCGGCTATTTAATCGCCTTTTTCTCCTCTGTTGCTTTCTAACTGGCACTTTCATCGGATGCGTCCGGATGCATCCGATGAAAATCGGTGCAGTTAGAAAAGGGTAGAATACAATTAATTGAGAGAGAAATTTCGTCTTAACTTTACCTCTTTTTGAACCACAGGGCTCCCATTATCAAAGCGATAATAAAGGTGATTGAGAGTACCACCGTCACCGATATCACAACCTTATTTGAATCTATTGGATAGAAAAGAAAAAATTACTGATATTTTAAAATTAAAAAGCCCGGTTAAAAGCGTATTTTTGTTGATGATTGTTGGATCTTATAAGATACATATGTCGAGTAATACCTGTAAGACATTTAAAAATAAATCATTTTGGTTTTTTTTTAAAGGATTATCAAAAGAATGCATTAAAAATCAAATAGTGTGGTGCTCACAAATAGATGAAATTTGGGGTCCGATTTATTATATCTTGATTTGTTGTATATTTTCCTTATTTCTAACGGATTGTCGGAAAATTTGCTGATTTGTTTCTAATCAAATTCAACCTGGTGCCAGGATAGAAACGCCCCGTTCTCTCACCTGCATTGTAATTTGGAGAAACTGTGGTGAAAGGAAGGATTGGTTCTTTTCCATCGTTGAGAATGAGTAGCTGTACGTTGTTTATCTGGACCTCTCCCGCTCCGCTTGCCTTAAACGTTACCTGAATGTAATACAGACATTGCCAAAAAGAACAATCATTATAATATCATGGCAGGGAGAAAGTCTTCAGTCATTGTTGTAGTTATAGCTAATTGTATTTATCTATCTAATCACTTTATTTATTTTTTCTGATTTCACAATAAAAATATTGTTCTTTTTTCTTTCATTTTGGTTTGTTTGTTGTTTCATTTCGTAAACGTGAAAATGTGAATAGATGCACTTACTGTCCAATTATCAGATTCAAATGAAGAAGCATTGCATGATAAGTTGACTTGAAGTCCGAACTGCGATAAAGTGTTGTCATCATCGGGTAGACATATTATTATGTGATCGCCTACTGACATAATAGGTTGATCTTCTGAGCCATACGTCGAGGTGATATTGTAACCGAATGATAGCAAAATGGCGCTATCGTTGAGGATGTTGCTCGGTGGAAGCCCTGTATATGTCATACAACCTGATTGGGATCGGTTTCCTCTGTAACCTGAAATAGTGATAATAGTCTAAAGCGATAATGAACTAATGGACTTTCAGGCCTAGCGTACTGTTTATTGCACATCGTCATCTCATGATCACTGTGCCAACAGAACTAACCCAATACCTAACCTTCACTTCGCAGTCAGAGGACTCGATGCGAGAACTAATATCGGAGCTAGGGAGGCAGATAAAATTCGTCGCTGTTTTCACGAAGTGACGGTAGTGAAAAAAAATCGCATTCACTTTGCGTTACGATTTTCCTCACTACCGTCACTTCGTGAAAACAGGGACGAAATATAGGACCATACTGCTACATCTGACCTGATATGGCGCTAGATGGGATATAGTAATTACTAATACAGTAAGGCTTTAAAACTGTTGTGAGAAAAAAAAACGAATATCATTTCAGACAGCTGCTTGCAATTTTTCTCACATGGAATCCTAATCCTAATCCATTTAAAAGTGACTACACCTAGTTTTTAAAGAAGGTTGAATATTCAAATGTATCCTTAAATGCACTGCACAGTTTTCATGGAATAAATATGTTGCATCTACTAAATGTATCTCAGAATGCCAACTCCATCCTTGCTTCCAGGATTTAAAT